TTTCCACAAGCGCCACACACGCAGGGGTGCAGCGCATGACGATCCGCAGGTCAGTTCGAGTTCTCCAAGTACGCTGGATCGAAGGATCCTCGTCCAGGATCGCCCGAATTTCTCCCTGTTTTGTCTTTCCCTTTGTCATGCATGAGAAAATAGTGCTGAGTTTTCGCTGCACTGCATATACTGCTCCCATCACATGGGCAGAAGCCACGAAGCAAAACTCAGAAGGGGCAATTCCTCGGGCAAGACGAGGAATCGGGAGGCTCAGAGAAAAACTGGCTTCGTTGACTTCATGCTTGAAGCCTGCACATATTATAAATACGCCTAAAGAAGCTTAGTAAACTGAGTTTATATTTTTGTTAGGGGCGTTGGCGCCTGCGCAGAAGTGGGGAAAGTGCTTCCGACCACGCCTCACTCTTGCGCACTGAAGTTTGGCAGCGTTCTCAGTACACGTCATATCTCTAGACGAGAACCGGAAATATATTTTAAGAATATTACATTTTTTTGCGCACAAAGCTATCNGGCGGGCGAGAAACAAGGAAGTCCTATCTTTTTGTGGTTTAAAACTCCCCGCATTTTTAATTAATATTCCGTACAAAGGGATCCGGTCTAGGCCTTCGTCGAAAGTGAAACAGTAAACTGACTTCCTCCTGCGGCATCTTACAATGGTCACTTGCCTTGCCGTTTTCCAGCAACTCCGGCGCAGACACGGCCTACGCGCAAAATGTTGAACATATTTCTCTTCAGCCCAGAGGATAGGCACTTTACAAAATGATGCCCATCGTTCTTCGCGCGGAGAGCCCAACAGACGGGCAACTGCAAGTAGAAGCGCCGCGACATGCATCGACGCAACCCATAACAAACACCGAAGTACGTGCGGATGGTGCACACGGAGCTAGTGGAGGCCCTGGAGGTATTTCATGGAGGAGCAGGTACATTAAAGGAGGCGGACGTGGGTCGGTAGAAGCTCCTCGACACGGTGTCCGCTGGGCCCTATTGTTTGTGCTCATTCCTGCCCTGATCATTTCAGTGTTGCGGGAAGTTTGTAGAACGTCCCCTTCCGCATCCACCGACCGAGCATCAGGAGTTTCGGCCCGCAGGCTGTCGGACGGCGATGAAGGTAGCAAAGAAAGCAGTACTCTATCACAGCTCGCAGAAGAATGTGAAGCAGTGGAGACGCACCTGGGACTGGCCTCGAATGAAGAAAGCAGTCCAGCTGAAGATTTGGCCGCAGCTGAACAGGTGGCAAAGATCGCCTTTGAGTTGT